TGTGCACGGATGGTAAGGTGAGCATCTATGACAGGGAGCCACATCTGGGGAGAGAACACTCCGCTCAGAGCGCATAATTAACTAGTTCCAGTCCGACTGCCTCACAGAAGGGTGAAAGAATGTGGTCCCTCACCAGTTCATTGGCTAATTTCACAGGAGTAAACCTTTCCCAGAACCTTCCCTAAGGCAGGTTTACTTATGCGGGTGGAGCACACAGCCACTGTAATCAGCTTGCCACAGCGTGGTCCCCCCCACACCGCTGGGGACGGACAGAGTTGGGCACCCTGGGAACAGTCGCCTCCTTTGTTCCAAGCCCCCGTTTTCTAAGACAGCAATGCAAATAAGTGTGGCTGGATTAGCCCCAAATTCAACTCAGAGGCGGGTGCTGAAGAAGCAGAAAATAGGCCCCTAGCCACGGACGGACGGGCTTCCAGCGCTCCCTCTGCACACTGCTTACCCCAGAAACCGAGAGTCCTGAAACAGGGTAGTCCAGAGACCAGGCGTGGACAAGGGCCCACACCAGCCTCACCCCACTAGAGGCGGTGGTGGGTTTACTTTTCCAGGGGCTCTGTGATTAAGAGGCAGTTCTTTGCTTCATGGTTCAGAGCACCCAGTGCCCAACCGCCTCCACACAGGGTGAGTTTATCTGCTGATGGCTTCTCCCTGGAAGGGGAGCTGAGAGTCCAACACGAGAGCTCAAACACAGGATGAAGGCAGGGGGTGGGCGCCATGCTTTCTTAGCAAGGCCTGCCATTGACAGGGCATCCCATAATACAGTTCTATCTCAAAAATAGATGTTTTTCTTTTGGGGAGAGGTTTCTGCTAGAGGGCGCGTGCACTTGCCAGAAAGACAGAGAGAGACAGAGAGATAGAAAGCTAGAAATCACCCCCCAGGGGGGGATGGCCACACCACAATCCCTTCTCCTCCATTCTCCTCTCGGGATCTTGGGCACGCACGCACACATGCCCAGCGTTGAGTTTAAGCCACGGGGTCCTGGACTCGAACCGCAATCGACTACATGGGAGTCCAGCGACATAGCCATTATGCTAACTGTTGATCCTTCAAAAATAGATTTTAATTGCAGTGGAGGGAAAGGCACAGGGTTTAGGTAACTTCCCAAAGCTCTGTCACTTTGTACTAAAGTGAGGATTTGGAGCGTTTGTTTGATGAGGAATAGTCTGGGTGAGTTTTCCGTCCCAAGGTGGCATGAGTGGATGGGATGACTGGATGAACAGGATGAAGTCTGTCACTATTCAGGACTGTGAGTGAGGTGAACCCCGACATCCTCCTCCCCAGGGTGGGGTTCCGCACGCAGGAAGAAGTGGTGCCCTTATTAACACACACGCTGGAAACTGCAAATGCCACGCCCCTCTATGCCAACCAAAGTAGAAAGCTCTCTTTCTACTCTCCGAAAAGTCATGAGAACTTTCTTTGGTAGCAGAACAGAGGAAATAACTGATTTTTTAAAAGACCTCTCTTTAAGAGGCCAATTTTCAATAAAAAGCCAAAAAAAAAAAAAAAGAGAGAGAGAGAGAGAGAGAGAGAGTGAGAGAGAGGGAGAGAGAAAGAGAGATACACTTTCTTCAAAAGTAATCTATAGGAATAATGCTTTTTATTTATCTATCTATCTATTTTTTTGGCTTTTGACATAAGGCATGTGCGCTCACCAGAGACAGAGAGAGGTAAAGTGAGAAATCATCCCCTGGGGGATGTCCATGCCACAAGTCCTTCTTTTCCATTCTCCTCTCAGAATGGGTACATGCACCCAGCATTTTTCAAGCCACCGGGTCTGGGGCTTGAACTGCAGTTGGCTATTTGGGAGTCTAGCACCTTAACCACTATGCCACCTATTGAGCCCAAAGCATAGTGTTTTTTAAATTCATTTTTTTCTTTAACTTTCTCCATTGTTTTCTTACCTCCTAAATTAATTGTTTTTAATTTTCAACATTTTTGGAAATGGTGAAAATAATTTTTTTGCATGTGCTTTTATACATATCCTAGTTCCTGTTTTACAAATAATAATAATTTTAAAAAAAAGAAACACAGAAGCTCAGGGAGCTGCTAGTGATTTTGTGAACACCAAGTGGACAGGAAACAGCAGAGATGTGGCACAGACCAGGGGAGGGAGGGTCTACTTTTTTGAAGTTTTCATTTGTTTTTTTTCCCTTGATTCCTATTAGAGCACATGCAGTTCAAAGAGAGAGGAGCATCCCCTGCGGTGTCTGCTCACATGGCGAGTCCCTTCCTCACACCATCTTGCACACTCACACGCATGCCCAGTGCATTTCAGGCTGACCTGGCAGGGGCTCCGAACCCTGGTTGCCCTGTGGGATCCAGCTTCTCTTGAGCACTGTATTACAACAGATCGATGACATCAGCCCATCTCTGCCATTTTTCTTTTTAAACAAATTTCTTTATCTATTTATTTGTTGTGATTTTCAAGCCATTGGGTCTGGATCTTGAACCACAGTTGGCCATGTGGAATCTGGCACCACCTGCTGGACTCCCACCTCCCAAATTTTAAGAGGGCTACCCAAAGCCTCAAAGCACAGCTGTAAGTGAGCTGTATGAAGTGTCAGACAGTGGACATGTCCTCACGGTCTCTAAGCTACCGCAAATATTGAAAAATAGACCATCTCCATGCTGTCCTTTTAAAAGGGGAAGAACAAAAGGTTAAGATATTTTTATGCCTATGTGGGATTGTAAAATACTTACAACACTCGACTGCTCAAATGAGGTTTTGCTGCACCGAGACTAAACCGTCATTGTCATGACTGACACCAACTGTGTGAAAAAGACCTATTTGAATTTTTTTTTTCCTTTTTTTTGGAAAAGGTTTTTGCTATAGGGTGCGTGCGCTCGCCAGACAGACAGAGAGATAGAAAGGGAGAAATCACCCCCCAGGGGGGATGGCCACGCCGCAATCCCTTCTCCTCCATTCTCCTCTCGGGATCTTGGGCATGCACGCACACGCGCTCGGCATGAGTTTTAAGCCACCGGGTCCGGGATGTGAACCGCGGTCGACTACGTGGGAGTCCAGCGACATAGCCATGACGCTAACTGCTGGTCCTCTATTTCAATTCTCCAAGTGTCAGTTGAAGCTAACAACTACCACACGAAGGAGAAAAGGATGGTTAATTCAAAAGGTACTTCCACATATTGTAGCTTCCTGAATGAATGCAAGTTAGAATATTAGTTTATTTCCAATTCAGTGGATTTCACACTTTGTTCAGGCAAGCACATTTCCCTACAAAAAGTCATACTAACTTAGCATGTGAATCTTCGTTTCAGCCTTAAATTGGGCTCTTGAGCCACATTATCATGCTTGATTAAAAGCACTGGCAGTACACTGAAATGTAAAACGCACCACTGATGGTTCTGCATCACTTACAAAATTAATCATATCCCCTGGCACTCAAACTCATTCGTATTTCAAGGAGATAACGGATGACGGAATTTTACACCTTAATTTTCCTCCAAGCTGATAACACAAGAGTCTGGGGAGATGATGAGTATAATGACAGTACCAAATAACATTAGAAGGAAACTCAGTGTTTTGATTAATAAAATGCTTATTGCTCAGTTATTACCATATTCAGACACTCGGCTCTGCAGTTACCTCGCTAGAATGGAGACATTATTTAACCTTTCGGTAGAGACACTGGTGAATGCTTCATTGGCTGTGTAACGTCCTCAGCGACTCAGTTCCAAGGGCCTCGGAGTGACTTCCACATCTTGTCTAAACACTCTGGCAGAAAGCTCCCTAGCCAATGCCTAAGGATGATCTAATGTTGTAAGCGCGTCATGACCAACCTTCAGATACAAAAATCCGGCTGAGTTTTTGCTCTTGCAAGTATTTCCCAAGCCCACGGAAGGAAAGGGTAACATTGTTATTCAATGATCACTAAACCAGTCTTCAGGTCCCGGCTGCTCCCAGCATGGAAGCCAGGCACCTCTCCTTGCTGCCCGGGTCTCATTGCTAGTGTACTCACTGGTGGGACCCCTAGAAATACCTGGACGAATATAGTCCCCTGGTAGCCGAAAAGCATCAGATAAGCCCGTTGCCAAGAGGGCCTCGCTTACTACACTTTAAGGTACTAAAAATGATAATACCCAAGGAAAAGTGAGAAATCATCCCCCCAGGAAGGACGTCCCTTCTCCTCCATTCATCCCTCGGGGTTTTAGATATGTGTGCACATGCACACACACCCAGCGTGATTTCCAAGCCACTGGGTTCAGGGCTCAAACCGTGCATCGTCACGTGGGAGTCTGGTGCCCTCACCACCACACTACCTGCTGGCTCCACGCAGACTCTTCCAAGTGAAGTGAGACTCCTAAACTCACAGCCGAGTTCTTTTTCTCATTGGCTTACCCTCACCCAGCGGCTGCTGTCAACGATTTACTCTTTTTATTTATTTATTTATATTCTTTATTTTTTTAAAGAGGTTTTTGTTATAGGGTGCATGCACTCGCCGGAGAGACAGAGACAGAGAGACAGAAAGCGAGAAAAACTCCCCTAGGGGAGATGGCCACACCGCAATCTCTTTTCCTCCATTCTCTCGGGATCTTGGGCACACACGCACACACACCAGGCGTGAATTTAAGCCACTGGGTCCGGGACTTGAACCGCGGTCGACTACATGGGAGTCCAGTGACATAGCCATTACGCTAACTGCTGGTCCCAACGATTTAGTCATTTTTTATTCACAAAAGGCTGAGGAGTTTCTGTAGAACTACTTCTGTCACAGCAGATTTGCCTGTGGTCTAAGTTCTGTGCTGACCATATCTTGGGGGGGTGTGTGAGGGTACAGGTCTAGGGGAACATGGATCCCATGATAAAAGGATGCACTGCAGTTAGAAGGCTACTGACCTCACGATTCCCAGGGACATCGAGAAAACTTTGCCTATCAGTCAGCAACTCTACGGAGTAACAAACACCACCTCACAATGCTCTTACCATCACCTGGGACAAAGGAGGGAGTCTATCTGGAAGACTTACCACCGAGACAGGGTCCATCACCTCCTGCTTGACAGGGACCGGGTCAAACATGAGCATTCTTTTCGTTAAACCTTCTAGGGTGCTCTGGTGTTTGGCCTAGAAAACAAGAACAGAGTGTTAATCAAGTCCCTAGCTTACTTGAAATAGGAACTAGTGAAAATAAAATAGAATACTCCTCACCTCACTTCTCTACGCCTTCACTTCCCCACCCCCAGAGTAGCTGTAATCTGTTTCCCTCGCCCACAAAAGATGCCGTTTTCTATCAGGAAAAGCAGACCCCATGTCATAACCAGATGAGGGCATTTCTAACTCACACGCATAACCCTGACGTTTCTGGAACAAATATGTACGACTCTCAGCAGGGGGATGCTTGCTCAGTCAGGACTGCTGTGTCACTCAGCGGACGCTGACATTACGTATGGCTGTTCAGCACGTCTTCCCTGACCCTTACGTTCATTCAGGAAAAAGCAGGGTGAAAAAAAGCAAAAGGAAAAGCTAGAACCAGCCATTCACATCATTGCTATTATCCCCTCAACCCTCTTTTTAAATAGCCTAGATGCTGCATAGTACTAGGATTTCGCCTCGCCAAGTATCGGGAAGGAGTTTCTTCTTTAGTAAGCATGCTGCTACACCATGAAGTTCAGCATGCCACTGTGTGAAGACGATCCCTTTACTGAACTTGTCCCTTTTTATGGGACACTTAGGTTGCTTCTACATTTTTATCATAATAAACCAGCAATGAGCCCCTTTAGACTTCAGATTCTTCTGCACATCCATCATGAATTTATTTTTTGAATTTTTAAACTTATTTAATTTGTTCATTTATTCTTTGGAAAGTTGTTTTTTTTTTTTAAAACTTATTTAATTTGTTTATTCATTTATTCTTTGGAAAGGTTTTTTGTTTTGTTTTTTTGTTTTTTTTTGTTTGTTTGTTTGTTTTTGCTATAGGGCGCATGTGCTCGCCAGAAAGAGAGAGAGAGACAAGAGAGACAGAAAGCGAGAAATCACCCCCTAGGGTGGTTGGCCACACCACAATCCCTTCTCCTCCTTTCTC